GAAAAAACATAGCCTAATAGACTAACCGTTACCAATACCACAATGCTATGGTGTTTCCTAGCATCAGGAAGACGCTAGACTGTTGTTTTAAAACCATTGTGAAACTTTTACTTCATTTCTTTTTGTTCTCACAAGGGGTCATGTAGAATTACTTAGGTTTGTTTGGTGTTTTCAATTACTTAATTCCTCTACAGATTGTTTTTCAAAACATTTTTTAAGGTTATACCACAATTAGATGTGTATGTTTATTCTCTTAAAAAACAGAATTTAGTGAGGTAATAATGACCTATCTATAGCTAAAATTAACAGTTGTCTATTACAGAATGAAATAGAAACTCCTTCACCTGACACTTAATAGCTTTTAAAACCTGGGGTATCACTTGACAGACTTGTGTCTGCACCTTGCCCACAGCCTACTGTTTGTACATTCTTGTCATAATGACTATTTTGCTCATACCAATCTGTTTTCTCTGTTTGAGTCCTAACCTATTCAAGTTGATTCTTTTTTTTTTTTTTTTAAGGTGCCCTCTGTGTAGAGGGCTCAAAAAATTGTGTATCTCTTTCCCAGAAAGTGCCTGCTAAAAAAGAGAAGTTTTACACAATCAAAAAATCTAGGAGCATTCAAGTTGATTCTTAATCATTCACTCAACAGGCAGTTAGGAAGCCAGGAGATATGCTGCAATAAGAATACAGAAATTTTAAAAAGACAAATTTTTTTCCTTTCTTGAAGACAAGTTTTTTTAAAAAGACAAGATTTTATATTTATCAGTTTAGATTTTCTACAGAGACAAATAAAGTACATATAGAGATAGATTTAAATATATATATATATATATATATATATGAATATTAGGGGGCTTCATGAAATTCATGGAAAAGTAGAATTGAGAGAATGCAATTTTTACAATTTTTTTGAGGCTTCCATGTGAGTGTGAGTGTGTAAATAAGTGGTATGCATTGTGTGGAAAACTGGAGCAAGATAGGAGAGTAGGGAGTAGTAAAAGCTTTTTTATATATGGTCAGGACAGTGAACAGTAAATGATGTTGTTCACCTCTAGTTTTGAATAAGAGTCCTCTTCCCCTCTATCACTTTCATTCGTATTAAGGGTTATTATGACAGCATGGGAGCAGGAAGGTGAACTTTGCCCTAGGGCTTGCATTCTTTCAGGAATCAAGTAGAAGTCTTTGGATGCTGTAGAATTTACCTAGATGTCACCTGTCATCATTTTCTATGAAACTTCATGCGTGACTCAGCTTATCTTTGTCTTTTAAGGTCTTTAATATCAATGTACCTCTGCCTCCGCCGAAAGAACAAGAAGTCAAAGAACCCTCTTACTCACCAGACTACAATCAGAGTTTTACTACATCAAGCACACAAACACCACCTCAGGGCCAGCTGCCAGCCCTACACATAGAACAGACTCTCCTTTCTCAAGAGACCGGTAAGGTTTTTGCATATGACATTTTGAAGCCATAGTTGACAGCTTATCGAAGGGAAAAAGGAAGTATATCGTGACACTTTAGAAGTTCTTTCCTTAGTTTTCATTGTGTCATTCTGTGTTTCTTCATGCCTTTTCCTTATTTAGTTGTCTGTATTAATATATTTGAACACTTCATTGTGCATTAGGTGAATATTACATAGCAAATTCATTTTCAATTCAATAATTCTTAAACACATTGCTCCATGACAGTGGTTGCTGTCACTGCAATGTGTCCATTCTTTCCTCATTTCCACCATGGATTCCTGGTTTCCATTTGTGAAGTTTTCCTGCCCTTCCTTGCCTTCTCATCTTTGCTTTTGGGTGTTTGTTATCCCTTTGTCTCTTAGTTGATTGTTCCAAAGAGTATATTTCTCAGGGCTCTTAATGTTTATTTTACAGGTTAGTTAGAAGTCCTGTAGAGGTAGAAATCTGATGGTTAATTTAACCTTAAAGTTGGCTTGTATTTTTTACCAATAGATTACCAAAGGTAGTGGTTGTGGTGGTACATTTTCTTCAGACGCACTGTTGGAGATTTTCAGTGTTGGCATTTCAAAGCCCTATTGCATTGTTAGATGACATGAGGGATAGTATGCCTGAAGAAAAGCAAAAGGTCATTAAAAAGACAAGAAAAAAAGAAAATAGCATAGTGGATGTCAGAAGAGACTCTGAATTTTGTTCTTGAATGTTGAGGAGCTAAAGCAAATAGAATGAACAATGAGGTTAAAAAGCTGAACAGAAGATTTCAAAGGGCTGCTAGAGAAGATTAAATTATTGTCATGAATGTAATAACACTTGGAGTTTGAAAACCAAAAGGGATGAATCCACTAGGGTCTATTTCTTTTTTCACTTGGTCTATTTCAAACTGAAAGAACTACAGAAAAAAAAATGCAAACTTCAAGTTGTTATAGTGAAGGATTTAAAGGCAAAATATTGAATAATAGAGAAAGTATCAAAAGATGGAATGAACATACAGAGTCACTATACCAAAAATAATTGGTTGATGTGTGATATAAAGCCATTTCAGGAGGTGGCATATGACCAAGAACTAGTGGTATTGAAGGAAGATGTCCAAGCTGCACTGAAGGCATTGGCCAAAAATTGGGCCCAGGAATTGACAGAATACCAAATGAGATGCTTTAATGATGCAACCTTGGAAGTGCTCACAGAGATTGGAAGAGATCCTTATTTGTGCCCATTTCAAAAGAAAAATAATCCAGTAGAATGCAGAAATTAGTGAATACTATCATAACTATCACACACAAATAAAGTTTTGCTGAAGATGATTCAAAAATGGTTACATCAAACAGTATATCAACCGGGCACTTCCAAAAATTCAAGCTAGATTCATAAGAGGATGTGGAACAAAGGATATCATTGAGATGGATCTTGGCTGAAAGCAGAGAATATCAGAAAGATGTTTACTTGTTTGTTTTTTCAAAACCATTTTTTGTGGAGCTAATACAGATACCATACCATTCCATAGTTCAATCACATGAAACAGTATTGTACAATTGCTACCAGTTTCAAAACATTTTTTCTTTTTGAACTCCTTGATATCCGCTCCTCTTTACCCAACCTCCACCCAGCAACCTTTATTCTACTTGTCTCTATAGGTTCATCATTCCTGGGTTTTCCAAAAAACAGAAAAACACATAACAAAGATTCAAGGAAGGTACCCACAATGACAAAATAGGTCAGAGATAAAGCCCTATATGAAAAATAACCACAGAAAATACTGAGTACTACATCAGGTCCAAACTATCAGAGAGAGGAGGGATCAAGTGACAAGGTTGTAACTATTCCCAAGTCAGGTTTATCCTTTTGATCTCTAATAAGTCATCTCTGTAATACTTTGTTTGGTAAGTAGTTTATTCCCATTCTTCAATTATGGTTAGAGGGAAATCACTGGAGGCTTATTTCCTATGTAGATCTCACAGATGCACTGCATACACTCGTGTATAAGTCGAGTTTTTCAGCACATTTTTAATGCAGTTTTTGTGGTAAAATTAGGTGCTTCAGCTGATATTTGGGTCGGCTTATGCTCGAGTATATAGGTATCTTGGGCTTCCACTGTCATTGATAGCCTTCTGCAAAGCACATGAAAGAAGCACACCAACATCCATAGCACAAGGATTGTAATGTATATAATCCAAAACCGAAGGAGGGAATAGTATCAAAGCCCGAATTGTGAGATTGTAGTTTACTTTTTTAATTGACTATGCAAAGGCATTTGATTGTGTGGATCATAATAAACTGTGGATAACGTGCAGGATGGAAATTCCAGAACACATCATGGTGCTCCTGTGGAACCTGTATACAGACCAAGAGATAGTCGTTAGAGAACAACACGGAAATATTTATGGTTTAAATGCTGGAAGGGTGTGTGAGGATTGTATCCTTTCATCATACTGAACAAATTATTTGGAAGCTGGACTATATAAAGAATGAGCACCAAGATTGCATGAGGAATACTCATTAACAACCTGTGATATGCAGATAATACACCTTACTTTCTGAAAGAGGACTTGAAGCATTGCTGATGAAGTTCAAAAACTACAACCTACAGTATGGATTACAGCTCAACATTAAAAAAAAAAAAATTCACAATTGCACCAAATAGACAATATGATAAAAGGAGAAAGATTGAAGTTATCAAGGATATCATTTTACTTAAATACATAATACAGTGGAAGCGGTTATCAAGCAATCGAGTGATGTATTGCACAGGATAAATATGCAAAAGACAAGTTGAATTGAAATGTTAAAAGGCAAATATTTCACCTTGAGGACTAAGGTGCACCTGACCCATGCCATGGTGTTTTCAGTCACTTCAAATGCTAATAAGAGCAGAGCATTGAATAAGCAAGAGTGAAGAATGAAGCAATTGAATTAAATGTTGGGGAAGAATATTTGGTATACATACACTGAAGGAAGAATGAATAAGTCTGCCTTGAAACAAGTAAAGCTAGATTTCTCTTTCAAATTGAGGATGGTGAGATTTCAGTGAGATGATTGACAGTGGACGAAACAGTGGGCTCAGAGCAGAGCAATGAGTCTGTGGTTGATGCAGGATTGGGCACTGCCTCATTCTGTAGTGCATAGGTTTACTAGCAGTCAGCACTGACTTGTTGGCATGGAACAGCAGTAATGTTGAGTTTTCAGAAACTTAAGTTTGAGTGAAAGAATTGAGTATTCCAGGAACGTGGTTAATCAAAAGATGAGTTGTTAGGTGCTTCGCAGTTGGCTCTGACTCATAGATACCGAATATGCAACAGAACCAAACTCGGTTCTGTGCGGCACCATCCGCACAATTGTAGCTGTGCTAACACACAGCCTATTGTTGCAGCCACTGTGTCATTACATCTTTCATCTATCCTGTACTTGCCAAGCATGACGTTCTTTCCCAGGGCCTGGTTTCTCTCGATAATATATCCAAAGTATGTGAGATGAAGTATTGGCCATCGAGTATTCTGGCTATACTCCTTCCAAGGGGGGTTTGTTTCATTTGTTGTTCTAGTAGTCCATGGTACTTTGAGTATTAGTTGCCATCACTGTAATTCAAATGGACCAATTTGTCTGCATCCTTCCTAATTCACTGTTCAACTTTCACAAGACTATGAGGCAATTGAAAACACCGTAAGTAGCTTGTGCCAGGTGCACTTTAGTCCTCAAAGCAGCATCTGTTCTTCCACACTTTAAACAGGTTTTGTACAGCAGATTTGGCCAATGCCAAATGCTTTCTTGACTGCTGCTTATATGACCATTGATGTGGATGAAGAGGTTGTAAATGTCATTTTCTGGGCCTGGGCACAAAGTGACTTGATTCTCTTCACATCTGTACTGTGGAAAGACAAGATGGGTGATTTGCATAAAAAATGTTTTGGTGTACGATTCCAGTTTACAATGTTAATTAGAATTCTTTTTCTTTCACTCATTATTATTTTACATATATATATATATTTTTTTGGAGAAAATTGTGTTAAAGATTTCAGGTACAGTGAATTTTACATACTAAGAGTATTGAGTTTTTATTACTGTTTAACTCTTGTACTCTACAACTCTTTCCTTAAGCAGCAAGTTATCAACCTGATGAGACTATTCAAGTAAGCAATGGTAGCCTTCCCTTTTACCCAGCACAGACGAATGTATTTCCCAGACCCACTCAGGCATTTGTCAGTAACCAGGGATCTGTTAGAGGATGTGCTCGTGGTGGGAGATTACTAATCAACTCTTACCAGTCCACTGGTGGTTATAAAGGTATGCACTGAATATGGTTTAATGATTCTAAATTATTTTGATTTTATAGTTATTTCACTCAAAACGTTTTTACTTTCCCTTGTCCCCTTTGTCATTGCTATTTATGATGTCAGTGCCATTTATAATTCCCATTTTGCTTGGAACATTATATGTGAAAGCAGAACCTGTGATTTATTGAAGTAGAAGAGCTGACCATCTTGTTTTTCCAGGGATAGAGTCTGTTTTTCATATTTGAATGATTTCTCTTTAATTCTTTTTGTTAATTGGCTACCTCTGCTCAGAATATATCATACTTAGGCAATGCCTATTTTTACCTGTCTGTTAGACTATACTAATGATAGGAACTTAAGAATGTGATAGTGATATTCTTTTAAGTTTTAGATACTGTCTCAAGCATTCTAGTTATGCTTGACATGAGCGAAAATACTCCAGATAGAGCTTTAAGTAAGTACTAAATTGCCCTACCACCATCCCTTTCCAACTCCCATCTATGTTCCGGCAATAGTGAATTTCAGAAACTGGCCAATTCAAAAAGTGCTGTAAGCGGTATGTTTTACTGTAGAAGTTTGCATAACTAAAGTATAAACCTAAGGACTACAATATAGTTTAGATCAATTGAACTTTTAAAGCTGGGTATCAAATTAGACTATTTAAAAGTTTCATTATCACTTTCCTTATGATTTTATTTGAATTGTTTATTAGGTTTTGATACCTTTAGTGGACATCCTTTGATTGCCAATGGAAATTATAGCCAGCTGCAATTCCAAACGAGCGACTATTCTGGAACATCCTATTCCCAAAGGGTAAGAGTAGTTGTCTTAGTGGTACTGTGATCACTAAGCTGTTGATTAACATGATTTGTGAACGTCCTATGGAGAGTTGAGTTGGAATCTTTTTCAGAAACCCTAGGAAGGCATATGATAGCAGACTGTTGTATGGAACTTAGAAAGTGATAAGGGCTTTATTAATGATATTATTTGCATTATTTCACTTTGAAAACCCCTAAGAAAAACTAGGTTCAGAGGTTAGATACTTTGTCTAAGGTCATTTAGCAAGTAAATGTCTTCCAAGAAGGTTCTTCTATGGTTAGAACTTGGATTTTTAACTTTACTACTCTGTTTCCTTCAAGATAATTTATTGCCTATATATCAAATATAGGAAAGTCCTTATAAGTCTAACTTCTTCATTTATTCTGATTTGAATAGCTTAGCATATGATACCAGAATCGGTAAAAGTCTTAACAAGTCAATTTAACAAGTTTTGGAAGCTTCCTGTTACTGGTCATATATAAATGTATATTACACCAAGTCAGCATTTCCTATTTTGAAATTTAACAAGTCTTTAAGTATGTACATGGTGTACCAAACTGAGTTCTGTTGGTAACATACAAGGGGGCTTCAAACGGTTTGTGGAAAAGATGAAATTAAAAGATAATGGAATTTTTTTCAGGAACTTCCAAAAGTCCCCTTTGTATAAGTACTTGGCATACTTAAATGTCTTAGAATCAGGAGTTAGATTTGACCTCTAGTTTCACTACTACTTTAACCATGTAACCTTGAAGATATTACTTGAAATTTCTGCACTCAAGTTCCTCATCTGTTAGAAGTTTCGTGAGAATTACCTTGATTGATATTTTCAGTATTAAATGACCTAGTACACATAACGCATTGCCATGTGTACATGAAGCATGCAAATACTAGCTGTTGTTACATTCCCAGATAATGTGTGTGACAGCTGTGGATTAAAATAGACAATAACAGAATGTTTTATTTTTTCCCTCCCCCACCAAGTTTGATTGGGGTGAAAATTTAACATTTGCCAATTCAACTATTTATTCATGCATGGAGCTGTTTATTCTTAACAATGATATTTTAGTATTTTTATTTCGTGCTGCTTTAAATTTCCTCCTGAGGAAACATAAGAAATTGGTAATAATGCTGCTTATTATGAAAAGGGTTTGAGAGTCTGTGGTAGGAGACTGAATTTTATTGTGTACCCACTTGTCCTGTTTAAAATTGGTATTGTGTGTATTTTAAGTTACAGTTTTCATTATTCTCATAACTGGTGCAGACTCTGGCCCCCTCTATACTTGAGCGTCAATTTGAAATATTCTCTCTTGAACATTTGTTTTTAATACACTAGACCACATTTCTAGGCAATAAATTTATACAAGGTTCTTACTCATCCTTCTCCCTTTCTTTCTCCAAAAACCCCGCAGTTTATAAATCTTCACAGAATAATCTATAAATAGAGCAAGAATGAAAAAGTCTCTTTTGCTTTATTATCTCCTTTTATATTGAGATGATGGACAGAGGACCATGCCATATTTCTGCATTTCCCTCACTCATGGTGTCTCTGAAGGCTTTGTTTTTGGAAATACTTGTGCATTTAATGGACTAGATAGATAAATAGGTGAAGCTTATTTTGCTGCTGCTAGCCTTGCTTTATTTGCTTTGCTTGGGATTCATAAATACCCGAGTCTCTTAGGTTGCTAGAGAAGGCCAAATGAAGCACTTAAGAGCACTTTAATCTTACAACTTCTGACAAGCCCGAGCAGTAACTCATTAGAGTACTGTATTAGCCACAGAAAGCACTGTTTTGATGCCAAGGTAAATGCTTTGTGTTCACATTCCCTCAGGAAAGTTTCCTGCAGTGTTATAAGCAAGGAACGCCATCTAGTGGTCCTCGAGGAAACTCAAGAGGTAAGTGTAATTAACTAAGTTGGTTATGTATCCAAATAAGCTTTCCATATCCTCCGTCATGTTCTTCTCAAAGTACAGTGCTTTTAGCATTTGTCTTGTTAAGGTTCGTCTGCTTAAATGTAGTACTGAAGTACTGAGGAAGATCTTAGCCCACCAGAATGGCTGTGGCAACCAAGTGTTAATTGAGTGATTTTAAACATTAGCTTGACCCCAAAGCGTATTCTGACCTTTGTAGCTATATATGTTCAGAGTCCCTGTGTGGTGCAGGCAGCTAAGGTTTTCAGCTATTAATTTACATGTTGAAAATCTGAGCCCACCAGCATGTACCCTGGAAGAAAGGTCTGGGTAAATAACTGTGGAGAAATCAGCCATTGAAAACTCACGTGCACGATTCTACTCTGAAATACACGATGTCGCCATGAGTTGACATTAAATGGACAGAAGCTGGATTTTACCTGTATCTTCACTGTGCGGCTAACCACAAGGTCCGCATTTCAAAACCACTAGCCTTTCCGCAGGAAAAGGATGAGGCTTTCTACTCCCGTCTCCTGTAGAGAGTTAACAGTCTTGGAAACCCACAGAGGCAGTTCTACCCTACACTACCTCATCATTATGAGTCAGAATTGACTCTGAGGTAGTAGTGAGTTGTTTGAGTGCTGACTTCAAATAGCTTCATGTTATGTTTCAGGGTAGTAATTTTAAAAAAGGAGTGGGGTGGGGGATAATTCTGTATACTCTGGAGCACTCATGGTGCAGCGGTGAAGGGCTTGCTTCTAACCTAAAGGTCAGTATTTCTAATCTGCAAGCTGCTCCTTGGGAGACATGTCGCAGTCAGCTTCCATACAAATTGCAGCCTTGGAAATGCTGGGGCAGTTCAACCCTGACCTATGATTTTACTATGAATTGGAATTGACTGGATAGAAAATCTTTTTTTAAAAACAACAACAAACAAGTCTAGCTAATCTAGTGTTGCTACATGATTGATGTAAACACAGTGACTTGAAACAACAAGATAATTAGAACACCTTTTAAAATGTGAAGGGACTATTAAAAGATCCAATGGAACAGAAAATTGACAGTTGCCAAGGTTTCACTAATTTTGCCACAAGAAAACAGAATTTCTTTTTTGAGAAAGTAGCCAATATTCATCTTGCCTTATTTATGAGAAGTGTTTTTGTGTGTCGCTTAAAACATTTCATTATGCTTCATGACCTTGGAAATAAAGTCCCAGTACTCACCATTGTGATCAGTACCATAACAAAACTTCTCTGAATGACCAGTGTTTAGTAGTTCCAACAATTAGTTTTTTCATGTCTCAGTTTTCTTGATTCCTTTTACATTAGATCCTTTTAGAAGAGTGGTTTCTGAGGAATTAAGATCTGGGTGAGAATTATGACTGAAAGAGAGAAAGGAGTCAAGGGTATACTCATATCTGGGATGTAGACTTTGCTAAACTTACCTTGTGGTAAGTTATTCCAACTTTGTGAGGGTTTTCTAAAAAGGAAAAAAAATCCAACTATTAGACTAGGTCCCCTCTGGCCTTAGAATAGTGATATAAAAGGATACTGCCAGAAAAATCTAGAAAAAACATTAACTCATCATACTATACTGCTTTGTTGTTTGGAAATTACTATAAAATGGATTATTATCTGTGTCTCTATAGCCAACTAATGTTAAATACTGTGTTCAAAGCTACTTCATTATGAGAAATTCACTGTTACTAATCAAACAACAGGGTGGAATGATTCTTCTCAGGTGAGCAGCCCAGAGAGAGACTGCGAAACCTTTAACAGTGTTGACTCTGAGCATGGAGACTCACGTAGCATGACTCCTATGAATGTGCCAGTCACCAACTCTACAGCCACCGTACTGCCAGTACACTTCTATCCGCTGCCTCAGCAGATGCGCGTTGCCTTCTCAGCAGCCAGAACCTCTAATCTGGCTCCTGGAACTTTAGACCAACCTATTGTGTTTGATCTTCTTCTGAACAACTTGGGAGAGACTTTTGATCTTCAACTTGGTAGATTTAATTGCCCAGTGAATGGCACATACGTTTTCATTTTTCACATGCTAAAGTTGGCAGTGAATGTGCCGCTGTATGTCAACCTCATGAAGAATGAAGAGGTCTTGGTATCTGCCTATGCCAATGATGGTGCTCCTGACCATGAAACCGCTAGTAATCATGCAATTCTGCAGCTCTTCCAGGGAGACCAGATATGGTTACGTTTGCACAGGGGAGCAATTTATGGAAGCAGTTGGAAATACTCCACATTTTCAGGCTATCTTCTTTATCAAGATTGAAAGTCAGTATAGAATTGGCAATAAAAGGAAGGTGTTCTCATTGTTAGCTTAAAGGGAAAATAATTCTTTCCCTTGTGACTGATTGGCTTAGGAAAATGTCTTCATTCGTAGAGGATGGAGGAGGTCATTACTTTTCTTCCCTCCTTGAGAGTAAAAAATTCAGGTTGAATGACAGCACTAATCTGGCACCTTATAAATCTTGATAGAGCCTCACTAGTAAAGCTGTGAATGTATAATGTTTGCACTTAATTCCTTTACTGTATTAATGTTCAACTTACTAAACTGCTTGCCGCAAGTTCAGGCAAGTTACAATGCCTTGTTGTGCCTCAATAATAATAATAAAATTATATGCACCTTCAGTGTTCCTATTTGATTAAACATTTAGAAATACATATTTGTTGTTTTAGTATTTATCACTGATAACTCCTTTTTTAATCACTTGAGTGGACACTTGTTCATTATTAAGCTTTCATATGTGACAGTTCTTTCTATTACTACACATGTAATTCATTGAATGATTTGCTCCATTTTTCATGGGTCAGTCACACATTTTTCTTTAAGATATTCTGCTATTTTGCAAAAGGGCATTTGTCATCTTTTAGTCAGCTTTCTGTGAGTGTTGACTGCCTGTTTAATAACATACAATGTGTGAACTCATTGTTGCAGTCACCGTGGCAACCCATCTGGTTGAGGTTCATCCTCTTCTTCACTGACCTTCTACTTCACCAATAAGAGATGATTCAGTGTGCAAGTAATACTGCTGGTCACCATCAGTAAAGCCTATGCTTTATCGTGGATTGTCAGTTTAAGGAGAGAGAATGCTTATCAAAAAGCATTCAAAAGCACAGACAGTGCTCAGGCAATGCTGTGCTTGCATTCTAACGCTACCCCTTGGTAACTGATCTAGGGAAGTTATTTACCTCTAAGATTGACATTTCTTTTCAACCTGTTTCCCCAAATCTCAACTGAGGATGATAATAGACCAATTTTGTAGAGCATTTGTGAAGCTAAAAATATATGAGGTACCCAAAAATACCCAGATTTTTTTTCCAAAGCTATGAGTTTAAATTTTTTCACAAAACAGCCTATCACCTTCAAAGTACTCTCCATTACACTTAATACATTTTTCAAACATGTGATTCCTTTCTTGAAAACAGTTTCAAACATCTATTTGGATGGCTGACAGCACCCCTTTTTTTCCCTTCACCTCTTCTACATTGTCAAATCGCTGTCCTTTCATGTCTCCCTTCATTTGCGGAAACAGAAAAATAGAATGGAGCAAAGTCAGGTGAGTAAGGTGTGGGGCAAAAGAGGCATGCCGGTTTTGTTTTTTGTGTGTGTGCCAAAAAATGGCACACTGAGATGGCTGCATGAGCAGGTGCATTATCCCCAAACCAGTCCCCAGTCTGCCACAAATGAGGCCTTTTTGGTCGCATACACTATTATGCAATCTTCTCAGAACCTCTAAATAGGTAGCCCAGCGGAGCTTTTCTCCACTTGTATCCTAGAAGACTTATCACAGTGCCCGACATTAGTGCTATAATTGTTCCAGTTTTCATTCTGAAGAACTTTAGGGTTTGTGTGTGTATACTATTTTATGTGATATGGTTGGCATTGCCAGAGTTTAGTACTCATAATATACTTGTAATGTTTTATCAGACTTAGCATCATGAGCTTGAGTAACTTTCTCATAGCTGTTAACTACATTGATTAATAACAATATTTTGTCAGTTATTTTAAAGAATACTTTTGAAAAGTGGACATGTTGATTATAATACTTAAGGATTTAAACAGCTTCTTTATCTTTCAATTAAGGTAAGTTACTTGGGCAGAATGTTTTAGATCAGTGGTTCTCAACCTTCCTAATGCCTCAACCATTTAATACAGTTGCTTATGTTGTGACGACCACCCAACCACAAAATTATTTTTATTGCTCCTTCATAACTAATTTTGCTACTGTTATGAGTCATATGATCCGTGTGAAAGGGTCATTCGACTCCAAAAGGGGTTGTGACCCACAGGTTGAGAACTGCTGCTTAAGATGGTCTTGGTTTAAAAAAATTTTTTTTATTAAATAATTTTATTGGGGGCTTGTACAACTCTTATCACAATCCATCCATCCATCCATCCATTGTGTCAAGCACATTTGTACATTT